CTAAAGTTCATAACTATCCCATATTAGCCAGACTTATATTAGTTCATTAGCCTTATGAAAATGTAGTAAGTGTGTAGTACATGTAGATGCCATACTTTGTACCCTGTACAACTCATGTAAAGTAAATAAAGTTTAGTAATACTTGCCTTCCTTCCAGACGATGGCGTTCTGAGTCGATCGTGTTTGGTACAAACTACACGGTGAAGAAGTTACAACCGATGTCTGGATACATGTTCCGCGTACGGGCGAAGAACGCGTACGGAATCAGCGAGCCAGGAGAGGTCACTGACCCCATCGTTACCAAAGAGAAGAAGACAGGTGCGCAGGATGTCTGGTCTGGAAAATAAACATTATCATCTTTAGAACTTCTTACAATTTTGATCAAAGAACTAGAATTACTTCTCTGTGATGGGAAGTTTTAAGTATTTATCAAAGTAATGTGTGACCTTACTTCTGACCTTTGTTCTCTAGATGGCGACCTGCCCTTCAATCCCAGGCAGGTCAAAGTTCGTAAGGACATTGTGGAGAGGTTCTATGATGTCAACGAGGTCGTTGGAAGGTGAGTTACGGACATATGTTTCTCTGTTCTTTTTTGCATTCTCTTAAATTCCAGAACTAAGATGAGATCTGCTTTGCTACTTTGCTAGAAGAACAATAAATGATCATGCTGTCAAGTGTCAAAGTTATCAACCAAAGATTCATTCTTTCCTAGAACTCCTGGAACTCGCTGTCACCAAGTACAGTAGGGGCATCATCATTAGATAGCTATAAACATTGTTTAGAGTTAGATTTTCAAGGGTTACTATATAATAAATAATAGGTATAACAAATCGTTTGGTGTGATGAAGCCAGCTGCTGCCTTGCCGCGTGCCTGCAAAGCTGGTTTGTTACGCCCAAGGCCTATACAGATACAGATAGATACGGAGACTGATACAGATGTATTGATTAATTTCACAGAGGAAGGTTTGCAACGGTGCAGCAGTGCCAGGAGAATCTGGTGTTTATCTCATTTTTTCAGGTGATCAGGCCACACCAATTTAATTCGTTGGTTCTCGGATTTTGTCAGAAAAAATATGAAGCGACAGGGCGAAAAATAAAATAAAAATAAAAACAGGTCTAGGCATCCTGTTATAGCCCCAAATGCTACAATATAAGTCATGAAGTCAACAAAAAAGGCTGGCTTAAAATTTAAAGTATAGATTTTGAACTTTTAATCAAACCACTGCATTGATAGATGGAAACACTGCAACAGCTAGGAAGAAAAGGAATTTCCACAACTGTTGGGGGCAAAATATGAGCATTTTTGAGTTGATTCAGAACCAGAATCTTTTTTTTTTTTTGCAAATCAGAAAAAAAATGAAGAGGCGAACCCGAGAACCAACAAATTAAATTGGTGTGGCCTCATAATCAATTGTTTCATTGATTGATTGATTCCACAGAGGAAGGTTTGCGACAGTGCAGCGGTGCCAGGAGAAGTTGTCCGGCCGGGTTCTGGCGGCGCGAACCGTCCGCCTCGACACGGCCGAACAGCGAGACAAACTCCTGCGCGAGATCGACATGATGCAGACGTTGCATCATGGGAAGATCCTGCAGCTCTACGATGCCTTCGAGCTGGACAGCAAAATCACCCTCGTGCAGGAGTTGTGAGTTTTCTGTATTTTTCTCAGTCTTTATTTGGCTTTTCCATTGGGACAAAACACAATGGAGGGGGAGACTAAACAGACAATTGCTCGCCTCTACTGGTTGTCTCCCCTAGTCAGTAGTTAATCAGTTCATCAATAAGTTTGTTGCTAGAACATGCTTATTGTAAGTTAGAATAGTTGAGCAGTTTAGTTGATACAGATATACCTGTATGCTTAACATTATGTACCTGTTTGAGATTGTCTTTTATAACATTTTGTCTTCCACAGAAAATCCCTATATACCTAATGAACCTATTTTCAGGACTGAAACCTAAAACAATGCATTTCTTTCCTAGGCCTTAGGCCACACCAATTTAATTTCTTGGTTAACGGATTTTTGTAGAAAAATAATGGAGCGGGCGGGCGAAAAAAAAAAAAATAAAAACAGGCCTAGGCATCGTATTATGGCCCAAAATGGTACAATAGGAGCCATGAAGTCAACACACCAGGCTGGTTCAAAATTTAAACAATGAATTTTGAACTTTTAATGATACCATTGCATTGAAAGATGGAATAACTGTAACAACTAGGATGAAAAGGTCTGTTTTCAACTGTTCAGGGCAAAATATGAGCATTTTGCAGTTGATTCTGGATTTTTATTTTTATTTGCAAATCAGAAAAAAATGAAGCGGCGAATCCGTTAACCAAGAAATTAAATTGGTGTGGCCTTAGAGAATTCTATATACTATCAAAAGACATTCAAGTTATAGTTTTACCCTCTACAAGCAAAGTCAGTACATGTACAATCATGTATGTGGTGTACAGAAAGTGTGAAATGGAGTCGTCAAACTTTTGCTCCATTTTGCACTTTCTGTACTCCCAATGTATAGAATTGCCTGAGGATATGCTTTTTTTTTTAACAGTGTCGCTCAATGCAAGGCCAATTATTTTTGGCCACTTCTAGGCATAGAGCTAGAGGTACTTATATAATAAGTGAGTGAGTATAGTGTAGTTATGTCAGGAGATGGCGGTGGACCTTTGTTTTGAAGCTTTGTGGATTGTAATCGGACGGAAAGCAGCTGTTTGGAAGAGAGTTATTATTAATATAATTTTGCAGTCCGGGAAAAGAAGCTGTTGTTGTAAAATGACTTGGAGACAGGTATGTTAACGGTGCATTGATGAGAACTGGAAGAGAACTTAGTGGCACGCTGAAAGGTTCTGAGCGGCAGCACAAGAAGTGCAAGTTCTCCTGAACATCGACCATACCTGTTTTAATCTCTCATGTCATTTTTCAGTCTGGAGGGAGGGCCGCTGATGGAGCGGTTACTGGAGCCGGACTTCACGCTAACGGAACGGGAGGCGGCCATGTTTGTCCAACAGGTGGGTAGGAATGGTGTAACGTTAAAACGTAAGCCATTCAGATGTTCCAATGGCGACATTAGTTTCCGTTTAACGTCTGAACGGCAACGTTAAGATTTTACTTTTGACAAAATATTTATATGTATACACACAACAAAAGTTCAGCTATGCTGGGGAGCTTTCAAGACGTACTCTGTCTCTTCATCAACCCGATTCAGATCTCGTCTTGGAGTTCTCTTGTCACGTCACTTGATGGGATAATCACGTGACAAGAGACAGTCATATACGGGTTTTAGGTAGATTTTAGTATCTAAGAACAAACACTAATAATAAAGTCAGTTTTTGAGTTGAAGTCTTAGCATTTAGAAGCCTTTTTTGTGCTCCTTTCATTCTTTTCTCCTTTTATCTCCTGAGCTCTATTGCCCTAGAGACAAATCATGGGGTTGAGAGTGGTTGTTGATGGTCCTTTGGATGTTTTTATATTTTTACCCAAGATTTTTGTCAACTTTGTCCATCAAGGTTGATGGAGTGGTCTGAAATATTTTCCGTCACGCACAGCAAAATTCGGTTTCTGGCTAGAGCCCTGGGTCAGGAGATATCTTCCATGCATCTATTTACATAATTTGAGCTGTCACTCAAATACTCACCAACGTTCAAACGGCACTGTTAAAAAGAGGTTGTCATCTAAGAACAGACATTAAGAATAAAGTAGGATTTTTTTAGTTGAAATCTTGTCATTCTGATGCCTTTTTTTGTGATTCTGCCTTTCTTTTCTAAAAAAAGTAGGATGTCTTGTCCTGTATTTGTTTCAATGTGTGGGACACAACACCAGCAACAGCTGCCTGTGTCCCACGTGTATTGCACTGTTGCAATTTCAATGAATCAAATCAAATCAATTACAAAATTTGAGCTGTTGCCCAAATACGAACGAACATCCTTCTCCTCCTGTCTTTCCAGGTGTGTGAAGGGCTGCACTTCCTTTTTTTGTGCTCTGCCTTTCTTTTCTAAAAAAAATGAGTATTGTCCTGTCCTGTATTTGTTTCTATGTGTGTCCCACGTGTATTGTACTGTTATAATTTCAATAAATCAAATAAAATCAATTACTAGTACTCACCAACATCCTCCCCCTCCCGTCTTCCCAGGTGTGTGAGGGGCTGCAGTACCTGCACAGTCAGCAGGTGGCACACCTGGACCTGCGGCCGGAGAGCGTGATGTGTGCCGACAGGACGGGGTGTAACGTCAAGCTCCGCAACCTCGGCAGCGCGCGGCGCCTGAATCCACGGGAAAACACCAGGTTTATCAACATTCAGTTTTATATTGATTGATTGATCGTAATCTGCTCTACACTGTAGTATAATAGGGGATGCCCCAACTTGACATGCTTTAAGTATGTTAAAATGCCCAATGCTCATGAATAATTTTTGACTGGAAAACACCTTTCCCCCCAGTTTGCTAAAATTCTGAGAGATTGAAAAAAATTCTTCATACAGCTATATATATATAGAGAGAGAGGTGTACTAAGTACAAAGTTATTTCCATGCATATCCTTTTAGCTTCTGAATTATTTCCTGAAAGAGACAATCTCTAGGCATGATGGTGTGAAACCTAAAACACAGAGTCCCAAAATGAACTGGGGTCTGCCTAATTTAGTATGTATCTGAAAACTCATTTAGTACCTGAAATAGAATTGGTATAGCCTAAACAAAGACCATATGTCTAAACAAACCCTTCTCCCCCCCCCCCCACACACAGAGTGAGGTTTGAAGCTCCTGAGTTCTGTGCTCCGGAGGTCGTGAACTTTGGGGTCATCTGGTTTGCTGCTGACATGTGGAGCCTGGGGGTCATGACCTACCTACTGTAAGTTCAAAGTTCACCCCCAATTTTGACAGTAACTGTTGATTTGTAGATTTGTCAGGATTGAGGGTAATCCAGCACAAACCTAAAACACTGTCTGAAATCTGTCAATTTTTGTTTGTTATGAGAGTTAAGGCATTGAATCTATCATGAAAGTTCATCTGTGTTGGTAGTTACTTGGTTAGAGTTAAAACTTTCGATCCAACACCAAAGTTCTCTCACCTAGAGCTTTCGACCAGTCACTCTGGTCTTCCTCAGTAGACTGACCCTGTGAGGCTTGTCAGTGTAAGGATTTTGGACACTGAACAAGACTATTTCTTGAGAGGAGTGAAGGAGGCCATATACAATGTACATCAGGGCCCATCACCCTTCATTGAACCGCGATGGGGGCCGACATCGTCTACCAGAAATTACCTTTGACCCTGATGAGTGTTGACGTCACACTTCAAAGAAGCCATGTGACATTAGCCTCACTGGGTCAGTCTACTGAGGAAGACCAGAGTGACTGGTCTCGGTGAAAGTACTCTAAGTAACTACCAACACAGATGAACTTTCATGATAGAGTGACTGGTCGAAAGCTGCTTTGTGTTGGGTCTAAAGTTTTAACTTTAAACATTAAGTCACTGAATCAACTTTCGTCTCCCCAGGCTGTGCGGAGTTTCCCCGTTTGCAGGGAAGTCAGACCTGGCCACCTTAAGGAACATCATCCGAGGGAACATTGACATGACCAGGGAGGGAGTCAGCAGCAGCTCTGAGCAGGCCAGGGACTTCTTACGGGGGCTGCTGGCACAGAGCAAGGAGTAAGACTTTCTTCTTACTTTTCTTGAGAGTTACAAGAGTCACATTAAGGAGTAAGACATTTCTACTTTGTTTTTGAAGCCAACTTCATGAGCCTTGTTTTGTGGTGACCGATGAAGTAAATATTATAAAAGTCAAGTGTACTGACTGTGAGTGTAATGCAGGAATATTGCATTGCTGGTAATTTGCATGATACTGAAAGGGGTGGTAGGTTTTTGTGTGTGTTTGTGTTGGTTTGAGCAGGTTTCTGTATGCTGCTATGGTTTTGCTATAGTCAACTTAGGTTTAGTACATGTGTGGCCCAAACAGGAAGAACATCTAAAAAGCAATAATTGTATTTTATAAGTATGTCCATAAGTAATTTATAAGATGTAAATTTATTGGTTCATGTGTAAATCTTAACAATTACTTAATAATTATTATGTATTCGTATTTTATATCCAAGTATGCCTATAAGTAATTTATAACTGAAACCTACCAGTCATTGCTACATAATATTATGTATTTTGTTTTGTATAGCTTTCGAGTAATTGTCCTGAGAATTTTTAATGTTTGAACATGCTACTTTAATGCTGTATTATATTGTAACGTTTTTAAAAAACTGACACGTTTGTAAAATCGCCTCACAATTCAGCCCGTCACGGCTGCCAGGAGGCTTTTATGTAACAACTAAGTTCTAAACCAATAAACCAGTCTACTACTACTACTACTACTACTACTACTACTACTACTACTACTACTACATCAAATGAACAGTCATGAATCTGAAAGTTAACACCAGTCTGTGTGTTTTCAGGGCGAGGTACACCATTGAACAGTGTCTCCAACACAGCTGGCTGCAGGTAAGAATAAACAGTACCTTATTCTACAATATACATGTATGCTGTTTTAAAAAGTGTGTGAAGAGAAAGCCTGACTCTACTTTGGTAATACTGTAAATAGTATTGTAAAATTTTCCTCCCATCTTCTTGCTTGCTCACTTTAAGATGGGCAAGACCCAAAAAAACACTAGTATATCAGTGTGACTGTGACCAAATTAGTAGACAAAGAACAAGGAAAAGTTTGTTTTTCCAATGAAACAGAACAGAGAAAACAGTGTTATATAAGAAATAGACAATCTTTTCTCCTGTTTTTAACACAGAGAGACAGAAGAGTTACTGGGAAGTACGTCGTACCGAAACAGAACATCAAGGACTTCATGGCCAGGAGAAAGTGGCAGGTAAAACAAACTTCTTATTCTTCAAGTGCTTTTTGAAGACCGACAGGTGTTCTACCACCTATGGTAAAGCTAGAATTGTAATGTTTGCAGAAATAAGAGCTCCCTGGTGTATGTTTTACATGTATGTCAGTCAGGTAGTCAAAGACTGGACCTCTCCTTGGTGCTGAATGCCTGGTGTTATTAGATGTTTTCTTTATTTCTATTGTGCCATGTACATGTATGGTATAGCAGCATTTTGGTTAAAAAGAAGTGAAGTCTTGCAACATGTATGTTGTTTAGATATCAAGGAATGGCAGTGTTTCTTTGAGATTCTTTTGTAGCCTGTGTTTTAGATGATGCAGTTGACAATTTGTGTACAACAATTGTAGGATGTATCTCTCCGTACGTGTTGAATGTAAATTGAATGCAGCACAGACTTGTTTTGTCACTGCACTGCAGTCATGTTGCCCATGTTTTCTGCACTTTGCCTGTGTGAGTTTTGCAGTCATAGCTTCACCGCCGACCAAGCGGTGAAAGCCATGTGTGTTAGCGCCCCCTATCTTCCCACAGGAGCACTACAGGGGGTTGGTCTCTGTGTGGACTAAGGTACCGTGGCAGAGAAGGCATGTGGTTGTGAATAGGGCATGTGCTTGCCAGGGGCATTTTTTGTGTGTGTGCGGGCATGTGCTATTGATGAAAATCTGTGCAAAGCCATCTTTTGCAAGCCTGTTTTGATTTTTTTTATTGTAGCTATCAGTTTAAGATTTTTTTCATGATATCAAATATTCTCACGCCATGCTGCTCACTCGTTTTGGCACCATTCTATCATGCTGTCCATTTCATCCTTCATTCCCACCAGAAAATGAGAGCCATGAAACAGCTCGAGGCCCAGGGCAGTTCGCTGCAGGGTTTTTCAGGTGCCCGACCCCTCGGCCAGGTCACGCGCACGGCCTCTGTGTCCAGCATTGATTCAGGTTTGGAAAAAAGACCCGAAGCCATGCTGCAGAAATCTGCCTCTATCCAGGACGTCACCTCCGAGAAAGCCGGGTACCCGAACGGGCCAGCCGCTGGGCAACACAGGACGACCCTGGTGATTCCAAGGCCCCCACTGGTGAAGTCGAGGACGATCGAAGGGACAGCTCCAACGGAACCTGCCACCCCTCCGCAGCTCACAGTGGTGCAGACGAAAGAAGCAGCGAAAATCGAAGTCCCGAAAATCCTCAGCACCCCAACGTCAAAACGGGCAGAACTTTTGCCTCCTCATGCAACAGGCAGACCGGGACAGCTTTCAAAGTCAAGGTCATTTGACATCTCCTCATCGCAGCCTCAAATCCAGGTGTCTCAGACGCCCTCAGGGTCACAGAAAGTGCCTCAAGGTCATGCCTCAGGACTTCTTAAGCAAGCGTCGGCTGATGACGCCTTCATGCCTTCCACGCAAGACGTTGTTGCCAAGACGGCGACCCTTCCGCGCCGAGAGCGACCCCACTCCATGGTGATCGAGCCGGCGTACCTCCCGACCCCGCAGAAGCAGCGACCGTTAAGCGACAGCGGGTTGCCATCGGCAATGGTTGCTCCAATCAGCCCACGCGGCGGGAACATCAGCCCCGCCAAGGTCACGGTCGTCTCCGGTCCCCTGCGGCCGGTACAGAAGTCAGGGTCGTTCGAGGTCATGGGGGTCGGACGAGGTCAGACACCAAGCCCAACGGCTGCCAAACTCACCGTCATCGCGAGCCCCGGCCCGCCGGTAAAATCGCCCACGGGGCAGCACTTCTTTTCCCGAAGCAGTGACGAAAGCCCCGGTAACGTTCCGGCGCCTCCGCCAATAATCGACCAGAAGGTTCCGCCGGACGTGCGGAAGCCGCAGCTGACAGACCATCAGCTGAAGACCCCGAGCCCGAAACGGCCGCGGACGCCAAGTCCCGCCCGTGTCGTCGTCACTTCCATTCCGAGTCCGACCGGCAGCCCTGCTACCGCCCAGAGGGAGGGACACCCGCCCAGCGCAAAGGTGCAGAAATCCGGAGAACCGCTCACAGAAACTAAACAGCAAAAGGCAGATAAACAAGAGACTCGACAAGATGTAAAACAGCAAAAGGATGGCATCGCCAGCCGTCAGAAAGCTCGCACGTCACCCACAAAACTCATGAAACAGAAAGCCGTGTCAAGCAGGTTGCAGAAGCCAACCTTTGAAGACCCCACCCTCAGCAAACCTGCACCGCCCAAAGCTGAGAAACCAAAGCCACCACCCCCTGTCCTTACTGAAACTCCCCTCACCAAGCCACCCCCTCCTACTATTACTCAAACTCCCCCCTCGCCAGGTTCACCTTCGATGGTCTCCCCTTTTACTTTCAAAAAAGCTGCTGTATTTAAAGACAAGCCTTCTCGCGTTGCCAAGGCAACGAAAGACGACATCTATAAAGACATGCCTCCTCTGGAGCAAACAAAACCATCCGTTACCATGGAAACAAAAGCTGTACCAAAAGACACCAAAAAGAAAGTTGTCCAAACTGTGCCGAAACCAGTGCCTGCTGCTCCTGTCAGCAAACCTTCTCTGGGACAAGCTAAGCCAACCGTGCAGCCCAAAACACCTGAAGTGCCACAAACCACAAAAAAGGAGGTCTCCAAACCGACATCTCCAGGCCTAAGACATGTCTCCAAAGTGCCAACAAAGACTCCGGATGAGAAAAAAGAAGAGGAAAAGAAGATATCGAGAATCGAAGCTCCAAAGATGAAAGTGTCCTTCTCAGTGGAAGAGAAGGGAGTGACAGAAAAGCCTGCTCCGGCAAGACTGGGGGTGCCGAAGCTCGTAAAAGCGAAGTCACTCGACGACCGTTCCACAGTTGAAGCGAGGATGTCCAAACCTCAGCTTCTCAAGAAATCCTCCTCCTTCGACGCACCTGATGATAAGTCTCCACTAGAGATAATCCTCCAGATGAGAAAGGGTTTAAGACCAGTGAAGAAGCAAGCAGCACGAGCGCCTCTGGTTCACTCTAAGTCAGTCCCAGACGAGCTAAGTCAGATTACACAGAAGATCCGAGGAATGACAAAAAGTGGCAGCCCGGAGAAAGAGAAAACGGCTCCTGTTAAAGCTACTCCCATGCCTGTTCTGCGGAAATCGGCCTCGCTGGAACTTCCACGGATTACCGTGATCGAGAAACCATCCCTACAGCCAATCACGGAGAAGCCGGAGACACCGCCCGCGACGCCGCCAAAACCGAAGGTGCACGTCGTCGCAGATCGCGTGAAAATTCCGCCCAGCAAGGAGACCGCAGAGACAACAAAAACACCTGAAAAGTTCAAACCTCTCTTTGTACGCAAAGCGGAGCCACCGGCCCAGCTGAAAATCCCTCCTCACAAGAAGAAACAAGAAGAGGAGAGAAAAACAGAGTTGAAGGAAGCTCCGTCGGTCCTCTCAAGGGCCAACCTGGCAATCTTCCAGCAGGCTAAGCCACTGAAGTTTAAGAAAACTCCGTCCATGGAAGAAGCAGAGAAAGTTGAGAAGACGACGAAAGAGCGACGAAAGGTGCCGTTTGTTGAGCTGAAGAAGGTACCGTCTGTAGAGAAAAGACTAGAAGAGGCAGAAAAGAAAACTAAGGTTGAAAAGAAAGTATCTTCTGGTACAGAGGAGCAGAGGGTGGCAGAGAAATTACAGAAGGGTCTGGGGGTGGGCAAGGAACCAGTGCCGAAACTTGAGAAGGCTGTTCCTGAGGTCAAGGAGAAAAAGGTTGACGAAAGGAAGGTTCCAGAAGTGCCGAGAAGGAAGGAAGGGGCGGAAGACGTTAAGAAGGCTCCGGAGGGTCCTAAGATGGAAGCTGCAGCTCTTCAAGAGGCAAAGAGAAGTCCAGAAGCTCCAAGGAGAGAGGCAGAGTCTACCCGAGGTGTCTCCACTGAGATGGTGTCTGTGGTGATCACGGCTTCTGCACAGGTAAGGCGGACAGAGGTGGATTGTGTTTTTTCTATTTTTGTACCTATGTATGATAGCAAAGTGCTGCTTTTTTTAATGGGGTTTGCAGACAATTTGACGTCATTTTAGGGATGACATGTTGTAGAGACACATAGCAGATACATTTTATAACATACATAGTAACTGTTGTTCATTTGTATGCCCTCATTTTTCCTGTAGATCTATACAAGGGCTCACAGCTACTTTGCAAATTTAGGCAACTTCTCATATTGTGAAAATACAACTGTGAGCAAACTTCATACTGAAAGCCCCGGTGCCACTGTCTATGCACATTTGATTAATAGAGATGTTTATTGCAAATTCATGCCCGAGGGCTAATTGCATACAGACATTAACAAGAAAAATGTGGTGATATAACTTATAAGACTATTGGCTAACATAAACTTCTACGTGTACAATATACTTATCGAACCTACTATCTCTACTTAAACCTAATAACGTTGGTATACATACAGGGTAAAATACAATATGTGTCCAGGTAATAGGAACAAAGTAACTGCTATTCTAATCTATATTGATATACGGGGCTAACCATGAGGTTTGAATGTCAATGATATCTCTGTGGATAAGAAACACACAAGTCCTTTACATTGTGGTTTTTTCGGAACCCCCTTTCACAGCCTCCAGAAGTGCAGCCGGTGGTACCTCGGGTGGAGGAGAGACCAGCTCCTCTCACTCCTGCTGTTCCTGTTACCATGGCAACAGAGAAACCAGCCGCAGAGAAGGCCAGAGAGCCGCCGCCGCCGCCCAAGCCGGTTTCTCCCAAGAAAGAGGCGGCAAAACCGCCTCCATTGTTACTCGAGAAGGTTCAAGACGCTAAGAAGGTTTCTCCCAAGACATCCCCGGTGCCTAAGACGTCTCCAGTAGCTAAAATGTTACCCGATAGGCCTCCCACTCCTCCTCCTCCGGTGGCTAAGAAGTCACCGGAAGCTGAGATGGCCCGCGACGCGCCCCAACCACCCTTGGCACAGCCGTCCCCCCGCCGGCCAAAGTGGTCGCAACCACACAGAAGGAACCAGAACCAGCGCCAGCACAGAGGAAGGAACCACCGGAGGTAAGTAGGGGTGTCTTTTTATTTTCATCAACGCCGATATCTTCGGTAGTATGGAATTTATAAAGATAAGAAAGAACTGATTAGGTGAAGGTTAGACATCCAGGTAACAAGATACGCCAAGAAACAGTTACTCAAGCAACTGGATATGATTTTGGAAATGGTCAAATGTTTCAGGTAGCATCCACTACCTTTTGTCAGTGATACCGAAGAGTTGTCAGAAAACAATAGGAGCTATTTGACTAATCTGCATCATCCTTGTCTTGACTTGTCTTACTTTTATTTCTTTTGGGTTTCAAAAAAAAATGTCTTCACTTATTTCCATATCAAACAATAGTTTGTGCTTATGAATCTGATTTTATGACAATTCTTCAGTGTCACTGATGAAAGGTAGTGGATGCTACCTAAAATGTCTGGCCATTTCCAAAATCATATCCAGTTGCTTGACAATGAGTAACTGTTTTTTGATGTGAAAAGTGTGTTTCTATGATTTTTGACCCGGTTTCGTTAACTTTCGCAGCCGGCGCCCAAACCGAAGCCCCCGGCGTTCTCTCGAGTCGCAGTCATGGAGGTCGCCAAGAAGACAGGGGAGGTCAGCAGCTTCTCATTGGCCACACTATTCCGTTTCCATGGCAACAGGCTCTTGATTGGCCACACAACTGTTTCCCTGGCAACAGACTTTTGCCTTTAATACTCAGAAAGGACAACTTCACAGGATATGTCATCTTTTATCCTTGTGCTTATAATAGATAAAAATTTTGGCATTTTTAAAAAACTACAATTGATTCGTTAAACTTGTATTATGAAGGATATGTCAGCACGTTGGCAAAACGTACTGCGCCTGCGCAGAACCCTGTATTTTCACAATTTTCGGTGGATTTTTGGTCAACGTTGCATCAGAATTTTGCCTGTTGCAGAGGATATCTTTTCCTACATAACATTTGGAAACTACAGACGGGGTGTTTTCCTTATATGCGCGAATACAACCTTATATGAGACATTCTGCCAAAATGCTATGCACAATACATTACGGGTTTCGCGCAGGTGCAGTACGTTCGGCCGACGTGCTGGATATGTCCAAGATAGAGGATTAGGCAAAACTTTGTTCCAATGTGCTCAGTGCGAAGCAGCAAATGTGTGTCACATCAAACACTACCGTTGCCATGGTAACAGACTGATCTGGCTACTTTTGTGTCAGCTGTTCCCCTGTGCTTCTGTCCTCAGCCCTCCCTTCGTGCTGTTGTCTAGTACACAAAATGTTTCTGTCTCCCCCAACCCTCACACTAAATGTAATGTTGTTGTGTAGGACTTAGGACTGCACAGTCTTTTGTCAGTCTTATAATAGTTAATAACACACTGTCCCATCTTACAGCTTCCTTTCTTCTTTCTTTTAGAATTACCTCCTCCAATTTTCATTTAGAGTTTCCCTTCTCTAATTTCCTTTTAGAGTTTCCTCTTCTACTTTTCTTTTAGAATTTCCTACACTAATCTTGCTTTCCTTTGTTCTCAGCTGAAAACATCGTCTTGACACCCTTAATGTTACCCTGTAGAACTCCTAATATCTGTTGTAGATTTATGTTTCCTTCTTTCACAGTATTATGTTTTCTCAAATCCTATCATTGTGTCCAGTGTTGTTTAACACATTCCTAAGGCCACGCCAATTTAATTTGTTCGTTCTCG